TTTGACAGTCAAAACGCGTACTTGTAAAACTGGTACTTTTGAGCTTTGTGGTTGAATGAACATTCAGATGAAGCGAATGGTGTATGACAACTTGAATTTTATTTTTATTCTCGTTGACAATATGCATTTAGAAATTTTATCAGGCATTTCTTTCGAAAACATCTCATAGAATATTTACGCGCATTGAAATTACAACACAATAGTTCAGATTTACTTTTTTCGTAAATAGCAAATCTCATAAAGTCTAAAAATGATTAAAGTTTGATCTTGGCCGGAGTATTATTTATCGACATATCGTAAAAACAAAATCGAAAATCTCACCGAACATTTTATGGAAAAAGTCTCGATTTTCAACAATATAATAGAATTTTCTGCACAAAGAAAGTACTTTTCAAATTATATTTTCTTATCAATTTGTTACGCACTCGAAGTTTTATCGATTCTATCTGTGGACAATCATTTCCAGTCTCTTCTTTAGGTCAACATTAGGCTCTAAAATCTCACCAGAGATAAATTCCAAAGTGGATAGAGATAGCTAGAGCAAAGATTAACTTCTTTCTAATTGGAATTTTATCTTTGTCTGGAATCAACTGATATGGGATTGTAGAAAAAGATGTGGCCTATAAAATGGAAAAATAATAATACCTCTAGAAAGACTAGACATACTAGAGAAAATCCGTCTACTCTCAATAGACAGCCAACCAACGTCGAAATACAAGAGTTAATAACTCTTGCATAGTACCATTCCTGTGGTATACGAGTTATATCTCGTATATCATAGGATACAAAAGGGTGACTTCTTGTATGATAGTAGATCTACCAAAAAAATTACCTTCCCTTTACATTCGGAAAACGAACTGTACAATGGTTATGCCACCAATTCGTATGATTTCTCTTATCAGAGATCGTAAAGTTTGTTTGGGTAGTTATTTTTTCGGGCAATAATGAACTAACAGATCTTGAAATTGAATGTATCAAGATTTCTAGGAAGGACCTTTTATACAGGAAATTCATACACTACAGGGTCGGAAAAAATGTTTTACCAGGGGGGTACTACGAATGATGTAAAAGTCAATTATCTACCAAATTAATGTTCATCTAAAATGGGATTGATGAGTATAATTGATATTCCGTATGACGGTTATTAGCAGTAGAATTATGGAAGTTTCTATCGGGTGCGTCATAACGATTAAATTCTGGGTATAGTGGGGCTTCCAGTAAAAGTCCTATAACTTCATCAAAACAAAAGCTTTCCCCATCGGGTTTGTTTTGTTTTGATCAGAAATGATTGCTTTTCTATTGCTAAATGAAAAATCAAAACTTCGATCATGTGTTCCATTTCTTGCTTGAGCACATTGTTGAACATGGGAAGAAATTTTTGAAACTTCGTTCTCCAGCACATCATCTACTCTAAAAAATGTTTTTACAGACCACAAGAAAGAGCATATTCAAAAGTACAAAAAGAACTGGGTGCTCACTTTTTACGGGAATGATAGCATAGGAAAAAAGTGCAAGTCAAAAAAAATACCAAACATACAAAGTTTTCAGTTCTTCCGTATAACTTACGTAGTTTTCCTGATTGAAGTTCTAAAACTAAAGTTTGGATATGGTTTTGTATAGTATTTCGTGGCGCACTGTTTAAAAAAAACACTAATCGTGAGATCTTAAAGGAACACGAGAAAAATTGAAAATACTGAGAGGCTTATTCATTATGACGCACTCGATAGAAACTTCCATAATTCTACAGCCAATAACTGTCATACGAAATATCAATTATACTCATCAATCCCATTTTAGATGAACATTCATTTGGTGTATAATTGATTTTTACATCATTCGTAGTTTGAGCTGTACCCCCTGGAAAAACATTTTTTCCGACCCTGTAAACAGATCATGTCTATTCGTGTTTTTTAGTTTAATTCTCTATCCCTTGCAAAGAAAACAGAAGATGCCTTCAGCTGATATATATACAATGAAAAGAAACTACAACAAAATAGATATAGGTATAACTAGGCTTGCACTTGGATGACAAAAGAAACGTGAATGCTATGGTGCAACAAATAAAAACAGAAAAGATACAACAACCGATTTGTCTGACTTATCGTTTTAGAATGACGTCTAATTGTAGTATAAACTTTCTATTCAGTGTGTAGAGAAAGTGAACGTAAGAGGAAAATCTATTTTTACCTTCTGTAGTTAGATTTATGATAACGAGCGCACATCGGATGGAAAGAGATATCTCCTTATTCGGTAGTTCTCTAATAGTTTTTATTTGATATGTAAGTGATCTCCTTCAACAGAAAGGAAACTCAAATAAAGGTTAAGAAGGCCATACAAAGGATAAACGATCACACCTAAAATGAATGATTAGAGCTTTAGTGTACAGCGTATCTTCTTTATCTCACATACGGCAAGATGCGCACTATATCCACATTCAGATTTCTGTATGCGACATTAAAAAGAAGATAATGTTCTATACACTAAGGCTCTATTGACTGGCGGACTGAACAAAAATATGTATAGTACTAAAAATTTCATTTCACAATCGTATCATTTCATTTCTTTTACAACCAGAATCATTTTATACCGTATTACAAAATGGGTAGCAAAAAGATCGACATGTCGAAATATGCTGGAGCTAGTGAAGCATCAAAACAAAGTGTAGCAAGTAAAATTTTCACTTATCGATTAAAGCCTTCTCACAGTCACGTACTCGTAAGGTGTGTTAAAATTAAGTATCTAGTAACTTTTCTCTCATGTTCACAAATATCTTCTGTTGTAAAGAAATGATAAAGAACTTTTCTATTTCACTTCGAGTGCACCATTGTCACATCAAAGTTTGTAACTACAAACTTACCATTTGTTACTAGTAACAAATGGTAACATATTCATTGGGATAAGTTTATGGTGCTCTTTTATATCCATAGTACATATTTTTGCGAAGTGTTCATTTAAAATACCAGCCTTTTTAATATCAGCACTAAGTTTTTGAATTTTTTTGTCGAACATTAATTCTTTTTTGAAAGTTGTTTTTAGCTGCAATACATGCCTCTTCGTAAATTTTGGCATAGTATGTATTTTTATAGTGTATGAAATTACTACGTTTTTCTGTGGAGTAGAGCCCATCGGGTCCATGATTTCTGGACCCGGACCCGATGATAAAAATTTATTCAAACCCGGCCCCGATGAATTCAAAATCTTCGGACCCGGCCCCGATGAATTCAAAATTTTCAGACCCGGAATGGAATTATTTTTTATAGTGGATTTTTTTCTGGCTAATAAAAATTTATAGACCCGGACCCGGATCCGGTGAATTCAAAATCTTCGGACTCGGACTCGATGAATTCAAAATTTTCAGACCCGGACCCAACCGGATCCGGATCCATGCCGGCTCGGATCCGATGGGCTCTACTGTGGAGTGAAAGGTCGATCTTTATGCTTTCTTAATTTTCTTAACTCATCACTAAGCCACGGTTTATCCCGATTTTTAATAGTTTTTCTATTATTCGGAATCGCTAATAATGCGGCCTTCAAAATTGCTTTATTAATATTGTTTACTTTAACATCTTGAAGTGTGAATAAAGTAGTAAAAGTAAGATTCATATGAACATGGTACCGAAAATAATTCCAGTCTACACACTTATAATTGTAGATTTTTCGAGTAAAATAATCGGCATGCTGATTCAGTAACGTTAATGTTACATGTAAAATTTGATGATCACATGAAAGATAAAATGGAGACAGAACAGAACATGATTGAATAAAACTTAAATTATTAATATCAATCAAATCTAAACATGTGTTCGATGATGATTGCGTAACTTCCCTCACTAACTGTTGTAAGTTTAGCCTTGCAAAACAATTGTAAATTTTTTCGTCCTCAATAGTAGATTATTTTTCGTCATGCCACTTTGCGCAATGCACATTGAAGTCACCGATAATAAATATGGCATCATAAGGTGTGGAAGAAGTGTACTGAATTATTGAGTTTTCAAGAAAATCAACAAAATCATTCTGTTTTACAGTACTAGATGCAGGACGGTACAAAAACGAATAAAATTTACCTAAAATCCGAGAATAGAATTTTATAAAAGATGATTTCAAAACCATTAAGTTCAACTTATGTTTGTCCGTTATATGTAGTCTTCTCTAACATACATTAAACATCCACGTCTTGGTTGATTTATTTGATGTTTCCTAAATACTTTTTAATTATTTATGTCGATTATCGCTGCTGGATCATGCACCTTAACTATTTTTGTAAAGAAAAATATTTTGATTTGACACCATATACCCATAGATAAATCTTGAAAGTTATATAAAATTTTAACTTCGAAATGTTCTGTACATACACATCGCTAGATATTGAGGTTGAACATTAAGATACAAAATAAAATAACTATATCTGCTGTTGTTAGAGTTATAAAAGCCTCAACCATAGTAACATTGCCATAGTCTAACGCAAAGAAATGCAACTGACATGCTCATCTGACGTAACACTACAATATACCCATATAGAGAAGAAAAAAGATCAAGGTTATTAAGTTTAGAAGTTAACTGAAACACAAAAGAAAACATAAACTCCCTAGCCGTTTTCAAACCACACTATGACATCCAATCTCAAATAATAGCAGTCGATAGTCAAAACATTTCTCTTCGAAACTACGCAAGGCTCAGGTCGTCATCTCCTTTGGTTCCGGAGATACAGACGTTTTCCGAGGACACATCTGTCGCGTTGCAGACATGTCTGGGATCATAGGTAATCGACCACGCTGATCGTCGTGGCAATGTTCATTTCATTCCCCACCCAGAGGCGAAAAAGTCGGAGCTCTGCCTGTAATTTCTAATTTTCTCGATCAGAACTCAACTTGTGAGCAATAAAAATGTCATATTCAGAATCAGGATCAAAAACTGAATCGACTGATGTGTATTTCTATACTTTAATGTTTTACGAATTTTCACACTGCAAAATTACCAAGATTTTCACACAAAACGAAAGATCAAGTAAACATTTCAAAATCCTGAATCCAGAAAACATAGTTTTAAGCATTGAAACCAAAACGCCAAAAGACTATGTCCATTTTTTTGAAACATTGCATTTTGTCGGTCTTTCGAGTTTTTTCACTTTTAGGACGAGTAAAAGGTCCTCAAGAAAAGCTAGACATATATATATTCGTGATCAGCGCGAGATTCTCTATCGAATGGTATATAAAAGAGTCGAAAATAAATTTCACTCAAAGTCTACTTTCCGTGCATCTTACAAAATTTGTTGTCTTTTGTTCTACTAAGTATAATAGTGCAGCGCGATATAATCACTATATTTTTCGAAGAATGTGACATACACTTTAAATAAAAGAGAAATAAACCGATTTGCATTGCTATTATTACAATAAATCTTAGTGAAAATTTACTTGTTTGACGGACTGCAGTTCTAACTATATGTCAAAAACGATGTCTCCAATTCCTTGTTTTTTGTTGCTTGACAGCACACTTTAAGAAATGGCCCAAGAGGAAAAGGAAGAGAGTAAAAACCTTTGTAAAATCGCGAAAAATAGTTTTAGGTGTAATCACTATACAATTAATTAATTTATCAATAAATATTTTATTTTTAAAATTATTTTTAACATGTTTAAATAATTGATGAATACTACCAACACGATTATTAAATTTACTCAATACTTTTAACATTTCAATTTTATCATCATCTATTTGTTCATTTGTATCGTGTATATATTTACAATAGCGAACTAATTTCTCATAATAGAGATAATATATTTTATGCATTTTCATAAGATATTCGTTATAATCTTCTTGTTTTAATTTTGTTTGATTATTATGTAATGATTCTGTTGCTTTAATAACAATTTTATTTAATAACCTACATAATAATGCTCTAACAGTATCTTTTAATTTTTTTAAATTCCATCCACTATATTTAACATATTCTATAATTCGGACATAAATAATCTATTCAAAATTTTCTTTTGGTAATTCTGGACGTATATATTATTACTAAATAATTGCCATAGAAAGGAGACGGGAACATTACCAGAAGTAGCATATGTTAATAAATTACATAATAAACATCGAATATTAATACAAAATGTATCATTAAAATTATTAATATTAACATCATTTTTTCGTCTTTTAACTAATTCATCAATAGCTGCTAATGTAATATATATT